ATTTTAGGATAACCTATATTTTGCACAAAAATAAAAAAAAACAAAAATGGGAAACACAACAATGGGAATTGAGATTGAATGCCCAGTTGGAAAATTTAAACAAAAAAGAAAATATTGTGCAATTTATTAAAAGTATAAGAATGCAATGAACTGGATATGCGTGGTGAGCATACGGATGTCTAATAAAAGAAGTAATGACTTGGACGTTAGCGGGGAGGAGACCAAGGGGAAGACTACGAAGAAGATGGATAGATAGCATAAAAGAGATATGGAATGCGGCAGACCATGGGGGGGGGGGGTGGATTAGCAAGCTATAGCATATTATTATTATTATTATTATTATATTATAATCAACGCCGGACGGCTTTTACAAAATTACAGACAAGAAGTACATAGATAACAGTAAAAAAAAAACATATACAATATATATAAGACGCGTAACTTATACTAATTTATATTAGAGAGAAGAAAAAGAATTAGTAAGTAAGTAAAACCAAAAAAAAAAACAACATGGTGTAAGTTATGTGAAAATGAAAAAATAAAAATAAAAAATGTGAGCCTTCGTACTTCATGTGGCTTAGTAGTCTATATGATTATTTGCATTATGCATCATCCTTATAAGTGGGGCATTCCTGGAGAAGTTCGATTTATTGGTGGGTATATAAAAATTACACTGAAGCCTAGTGTTACTAGGAATACGAAAACTAAGTTCTCCAAGTAGTCTTGGGGCATCAACTTGACCTTCGATCAGACGCTGAATAAAAGTGATATCAAAATTATCACGCCTTACAGAAAGGGGAATTAGTCTCAGAACTTGGCTTACTGGCCCATAATCATGTGGCGGATGAGGAATGTTGAGGCAATAACCGGTGAAACGCATAAAACTGTTTTGTACACGATCAATCCGAGAAATGTCAACTGTGGTATATGGTGACCAAACAATAGACCCATATTCAATGACCGAACGGACTAAAGCATTATAAAGAGCTAGAAAGCAGTTGGCAGAACTAAAATTAGTAGAGTGACGACTCATATAATAGAGAGAAATAAGAGTGGGTAGTTTTGGCGGTAAATACCCTCAATGGATCGTAAAACCGGAAAAAACCTATATTTTGCAATCACAAATAGATTCGATGATTTTCTTATATGCTCGCATGCAACGTACATGTGCTCATGGTACAAATATAGTTTTTCTAAACTACAAACGGACATTGTTTGGTCTTGAGACTCATTTATAATCATCGCGAAAGCTAAACCAATAGAAAAATTGAAGCCTTTTGAATTGTATCGGAGATTTTGACAGTATCAATGGAATACGTGACAACAGGACGATTTCTCCTTTAAATTTTCCAGTCAAAATTGTTACTTTAAGATTGTTTTTGGTAATACTTTGAACGACCAAACGTGTACCGTTACATAATTTAGGTGGCATTACTGGTATATATAAAGTATTTGAAAAATTTATTTGGAAAAAGTACGGTTTCATTTACATTACCAATAGTTTTCGATTGATTTAAAATACATCAGATTACCTAGTAATACATTTTGTATCTGGAAGTTAATTTTGTTAACATTAACATTTTTTGTCACCAATATAACAAGATTATTGAGTCAATTATGATCCAAGTAAGAGTTATTCAGTATATCTGAAAAGAGAGTTACAATTAGTTCATTTTTTTCTAAACAATAGTGCAAAAACTGTTTAAAAATTGAATGTATTTTGAATATTTGAATGCACTTCTATTTCACCGTTTCTATTATTCAGCAATTTCTCAGAAAATATTTGTGTTAATTTAGTCACAAGTTTAGGGTTAAACTAAGTATTTTGATGTAACGTCATAAAAACGATTGTTTTATACATGCGTTAATCTCATCAGAAAATTAGAGCGAGAAATGACTGGCAATGCCTATCAGAAATCATCAGACAATAGTAGGACGATATTAAAAATGTCTTACTGATTCTACCTGGAGCATTCAAGAAAAAAAGCCACGTTGTTCGGCGTTCACTGTCATCATAGTTCAATTATAAATATTTTTTTGTTCAGCTATCAATAATGGTTAATTATTCGCAATATTTGTTGCTAAGTCAACATCATAACATTATTTTATCGTTCTAAATCTCAGTTCACCACATCAGTGGTCGAGCTATCTGGTAATGGCATGTTATAATGTGTCAATGGAAAATTTGAAATTAAAATACATAAATTCCCGATAAACACTAATGCTTCATTATACGTCTTTGACGTAAATTCTATTTTTTATATTGGTATGTTTGTTTAAATTCATGCAGTACATCTTCAGACTTATATTTCTTATATTTGAATTACAAAGCCGATGATTGTGTAGGGTAACATATCAAAATAATTGGTAACAGTTGAAGAATATACTATTCTGCGTGCATATTAACATTACACCAGCAAGTGTTAATTCTCAATGATTACTGTTTTCTACCTATTAAAACTCGCGGCATACATCTTGATATGTATCTAATACTCGATTATTAACTGTTCACGAAAATCCTAAAGACGTTAGCATCATTCAACAACAACAAAACAACAAATGGGGAAAAAAAACATTCACGTTATTTTGGATGTACTGTCTAAAGTCACTATAATGTGTTGACTTTAAAAATGTCTCCAATTGAAGGATGTGGTTATCCTTGTTTAGTTTGCCCCCATTTTTAACTTGATTGGTTCCGTATAAAATAGTATAGAAAATTGGCATATAATAATGTTTGTCCAAATTAACCGAAAATATTAGGTTTTTGAGAATGTGTAAAAAATGTACCAATGCTTAGTTATTGTTACCATGGTAATAATAAAATATTTTGAAGTATTGTATCGATAAAATATCTTTACCGTAATCTATTAGAAACTTATAGAACTTACATATAATTTCAAATCTTTATTCTATATTAAACATTTAATTTGCAACATTATCGGGAGATAAACAATCCTTTAATATAGTTTGGACAATCTCACACATATGGAGTACAATATTATAAAAATCGGTTAAGTAATTTCGTATTCCATTGGAAACAAACCGTCTAACACGTAATTTTTAAATATAAGATGAAAATATTTATATAAATAAATATTTAAATGTGTATACATTTATGAATCAATTAATCAATGTAAGTATAAGTCGCTTAATGCGAAGAAATTAGTGTTAAGCGTTTCGGTTTATACACATTTTTTTTAACACAAACAGATTATTTTGCGTTCCCGTCGAGTTCGTGTTAACGAACAGAGAAAATTCTGCGAAAGCTGTTCCTATTATAATTTAAAGATTTGTATTTTATAAACGCAAAAAGAATAGAGAACTACTTTTATCGTATTTTTAATGAACAAACAACTCGTGTTTATTGCGTAATTATATTTATTAAAACAGAAAAATACATTCCATATCAATTTCGGATTATCATATTGCTTTTATTACGATAATTGTAAAGTTTACGGGTAAAATTAAATTAAATTTTCGATATGAATCCGGGATGAAGCTTTAAGCTACATTCAAGTATATATTAAATATTATTTCTAAACCATCTATTCAAATAGCATTTTTATTCGCTTAATCACAGCTGTTGCATACCAAGGAAAATTTATTTTTAATTATGCACACCTACCTCAGACCAGTCATCAGAACGTGATTTATGGTTTTCTCGCACAACTACCAGTTGCGGTGGTTGTATTTATCGTTCTCTTTGCTCTCACCAAATTTAAATGCTAGTGGATTATATCATGATTTCCATAAAACATACTTTAAAAACTGACGAGTGATTTGCTCGTATATGACATTAATCACGATAATGTTAATTGAAATGTATATCGAATTATTTTTTTGTTACAAACTATAAAATGAAAGTTTTGATTTATTAGTTTTAGGTAATTGTTAATAATATCAAATTTGCCAGAATCATATTGAAAAACATGAAAGTAAAATATTGAGCGCTATAGATAGTTTTGAAGTATGTGATTAATACGACAAAATTACCATACAAATTATAATTTTACCTTAATTAAACTGAATTTAATGTTAGTGATGTAAGGGTTTACTTAAATAATTATAAAGTATTGATTTACAGCTTCATATGAGTAGTAAAATGTAATCGATAAAAATAATAACATTATAATATTATACTTGATGTTAGTTTCTCTATCTTACTAAATTGTTTGAGATCAATCAAAATGGCACATCATGGTCACATTCTGTGAAAATGCCTAGAAGAATAGAGATAGCAAATAATGAACGACGAATAGGCCATACAAAAATCACATAGAGCTACCTAATGAACAAAAATAAATCTCCAATGTGCCGAATATGCAGAGTCCTATTGAGCACCAATCACGTACTTACCAAATGCCTAAACTATGAGCTCCATAGAAAAAAAGCTAATCTTTTTGAACATATTTCCACATCACTTAATAACTGCCGAGAATCCATGAATGCAACAATCATATTCATCGTATCATCAAAATGATAAATACGTATCAATAATATTTCTACTCGAGTTATCAATGGAATACATTTAATTTTATTATGGGGAGGGGACATAAAATAATATAAATAGTTCTTATATCAAAATCAAATGTCTATTTTTATACTTTTCAGGCGAAAAATTAATGTTTTTTTGATTCCATTATAATTGACAAGTACTAAATTTACATACACGATAAAATATTCATGTTGTGAATTTTTTCATTCTAACCATTTTAACATTGGAATTTTTTTTTTAACCCCCTCCATTTATATGTTACAGAGTATTATAACCCTTATATACTTAAATGTGTAACAGGTATTCAGAAAATAATACCAACGATGTATCTAAAATAAAAATGAATGAAAATATCCATTATGAACTATAATAACTTATGTAAATTACATGAATACATAGTTTTAACAAAATTGTTCTGTTTGTATCTAATATCAAATATATGATAGGCAAATATGGAAATGATTGCAACCAATTATCGAAAGACTATAGAAAATGTTATACGTACCGATGAATTCCAGACCACTCAGTTTCCAAGTACCAGTTTTTGTAACTAGAATGCTGCTTGGGCAGACATTATGATGATGAACTTGAGGAGATAAGAAATCAAGAGCTTCGGCTATCTGAAATTCGTAATATTCAAGGATAAATCGGTATGTCATACGCAACACAATTGAGTAAAATACACTATTCACCTAACAAAGATTTGGTGATCATAGTACTTTAATGGTAAAATCACAATATCAATCTATTCAATTATATTATTGAAATATGCAATATGTTATTAGACTCTATTATGATAACTTATTATTAGGAAAAAGGTACATTTTATTAGTTTGTATTTTTTACTCGACTAGAGTGATATCCAGCGTAACGTTTCGGATAAAATTTTAGTATAACCCCTCGTTTAAGACATATCCCTGTTAAAATATGAGAATTTTCATTAATGGCTAATAATCTTAATAAACTATATTATTAACCAATGATTTATGTAAATTTAAGTTTAAAACTCTTCTTTTTATTATATTGTCCTACAAAATTGAATCATTTTAATTAAAGACATCATTCACCGGATAATAATGTAAAATAGCTATCGTATTTTGTCATAACATATACCCACATTAATTCTAGTAGGCTAGTAATTTTTCAACTATCATATAATATACATGTACTATTTAAAAATTAATACAAGCATACATGGTTCTTTCATCAATAATTTAATTAAACAGTGGTTAAAATTTATTACAATGTAGCTGTATTAATTGTGTAATTGTTTATTATAAAACTAATTTAATTTCGATTTATCCATAAATACAAAAAAAAAAAAAAAATTCAAATTTATTTTTAACACTCACGATTAATTAATTTAAAATAAATAATTTTAAATTATTGAAAATGTATAACTGATATGTACGAGTTCACTGATTTTAATTATAATAGTATCCGATCAACATATAGGTACATATTATACAACACATAGTTGTATCGTTTTATTTTTAATAACGAAGTATTTTTTTTTATACTACTATGGATTGGCAATGCATGGAGAAACTAAAATCTACTGTAACAGGCAATTCTGTAAAAAACAGAATACTGTAGGAAAAAGACCATTAGGTAGACCAAGAAAGTGGTAGGAAGATATCATAAAAAAGGATAGGGATGAGATGGAGAGGGATTCCGATTGGAGAAATCTAACAGTGGAAATAGTAAAATAGAAGGTTTTTTGTGAGATAGGATGGTCTTAAACGCACAATAAACTCAAAAAGAAGAAGAAGTATTTTTTTGATTTTAAACATAATATGGAAAGTTTGAGAAAATTTAAAGGTAAAGAAAAATTCAAATAAAAGAAGGGTGAGATATAAAATTTGTATGTAAATAGTTGTGTATAAATAATTAAGTTCATAAAATTTTAATCGATATGTTAAATAAAAACCATTTAAGGGAAGTGATAGGCTTGTAGTTTAGTTTGTCTCTGCGTAAATAAACACTTTTTTTTATTCAATTTTTTATAACATAGAACAATAGATATAATTTTTGAAATAAATATGTAAATATAAATAATAATAGAAAAAAAATTAATCAAAAAAACGATAGATTAAACATAGTTTAGATGCCTCCCAATGGAGGTACTATGAAATAAATAACCTAATCGTATATAAAATTAATTTTAGCGTAGATTTTTTTAAATTTAATAAGTTTCTAGAACAAACTGTTTTTAATATATTTCCACAATTACATTATACAAATATATACAAATTATGTTATTTTTCATGTTTAAAAAATAACAATGTAATACATGATGATATAAAAATTAAAGGTCCAGTATTTTTATATGGTTTTAGTTTTGTATGTGTTCGTAAGTTTGACAATTATAACATTGCATAGGGATTTGTTATTTTTTATGTGGTTTCTCAATTACCACTTTACCACTTTAGTTGTAAGTAACTATGTGATACAAATATTCTTATTTTTATTAGTTTTTTGTATACATCGGCAATACACTCGCTACCTGGAAATGCTGTAAGAGGGCATTTATTTTTATTTTAAGCATTGTATAAGTGTTTAACTCAATGTCTTAAAACAGCCAAATTTTCAGATATGTCAGTATGTATGCTGGAATGATGTAAGTTTTTTATGACGATAAGCGATGTGAAAGAGAAGAAAATCTATGAAAATTTGATTGCGTTGTCATCAAGTGATCTATAATTGATTAATATTATGATAACATTACGATTTTATGATCAAATATAACAGTATTGATTTAAAATTAAATCCGTTTGAACTGGTGTTTCTTATTTTAGACATTGTTAGAAACGGGTAAAATAAATGTATTTTTATATAAATATTGAAGGAGCATTGGTCTCAGTGTCATGAACTGTGTGAGGTGACTAGTCGAGATGTCGGTAGTGTTAATTTAATACGCAGCTAATACGTTGTAACTGATATAATTGATGGCGAGAAAAGGAAAACGATTAAGTGAAATAGAAACTTTAGATTTTTTGATATTATAACTGATATATACATATATTTCGTGATATTAGGCTTATATTATGAAGCAAGGCCAGTATTCATAATGAGTAATGATGTAGTTATTGATAAAGACTAATAATAATAACATTAACACTTAATAAGCGAGCTGAACGATGCCGGAGAGTGAAATAATGGTGATGTAGTTATAGACACTAATTATTTATTTTTGGGAGTATATATATTCATTACAACCAACCGTTTATTATTATTTTACAAATATATTTGGGCTTGTTAAATAATTAAATACGAGTGTAGACATTTATTATTCTTTGAAAAATACTTATATGAAACTGCTTATATTTTTTCCGGTATCCGGCCAAAATAGCGAAACAATAACGGCGAATACGAGTATAAAAATCACGAATTAATTATAGCGAAAATAAAAACAGCGAATTTTAAAATAAGCGATCATGCATAATAGTGAAACTTAAATTTAAATTACATATATTCAAAAATTTTCAATTCATTATTTATCAAGATAACTTACTGATATCATACATTGGAACATATAAATTTCTTTCTATTTTTACCAGCGATATCTGATGCAATTGACTTATGCCCACGGATGTATCAAGTCGTCATCAATGTACTATCTTAATTACTATGTAACTTAGATATTATATATATATGTTGGAAATTTAGATAAAATTGTCAATCATATTATATTTGAGTTGACATAAGTTAATACAGTTGTAGTTCAAAGCGTCAGTGTATAGATTGTATTATTTATTATTTTTGTTCGTTAGAAAAATACAGTGTAAAAAAAAAACATATTTATTATTATTTTCAATGGAATTTGTAAAAAGTAATAAAATTAAAGATTTATAATTGTATAGTGGATTCTTGCATCGTGAAGATAGAAAACAAAATAACACAATATATTGGTGTTGTGTAGAAAGTTCATATAAAGGTAGAATAATTACGATTAACGGAAAAATTAAAAATCAATCTAAGGAAAACTCTCATAATCATATTCCCGATAAGTGTAAAATTCAATGCAAAATGGCTGTGAATAAGATTAAGAAGCGGCTGTTCACACACAAATTACTCCACATGATATAATCAGTACTGTACAAATAGTATCTGGAGTAGCCGGTGCAATTCCTTCAGTTCATCATTTGAAACACACTATACGTAGAGTTCGAATACGTAATCAATGAGCACCGCCTATTCCGAAAACAGTCAGTGACTTAAAAAATTTCTGATGAGGATACTAAAACGATAAAAGGAGAACAATTTTTAATATTTGACAGTGGAGCACCACAGGATCGAATTTTATTATTTTTGATCGAAAATAATTTAAAATTGATGGATCGATCAACTAATTGGTTGGTAGACGGAACTTTTAAAACGGTACCTTCACTTTTTTATCAGTTATTCACTATTCATGTACTTATTCAACAGGGTGACCAAACAGTTAGTCCTACCATTTATGCATTATTAACCGATAAATCTCAATTAACATATACACGTTTTCTTAAATATTTATTAGAAATAAAACCATCTTTAAATCCTACATCGGTAATAATACGAGATCGTAGATTTTGAACATGCCTCAATAAATGCATTCAAAACCGTTTTTCCACATGCTGAACAACAAGGTTGTTTTTTTTTTTCATTTTTCTAAATGTATGTGGCGACTAATTCAAAATGTTGGTCTAGTCGAAAATTATGTTAATAATCCTAACTTTTCTCTTCATATTCGTATGCTAGCTGCTTTGGCCTATGTTCCTGATAACGTTACTAATACTTATGAAGACATTTTAGAAACACAATTTTATGTTGAAAATGAAGACCTGTTAATTGCATTCTTGGATTATTTTGAGGAAAACTGGGTAGGAAAAATAATAGGAAGACGAAAAATTCGACGCCAACCAAGACATCAAATTGATATTTGGAATTGTCACTATTCTGTCAAAAATGGTCTTCCAACAACAAACAATGCTGTAGAAGGATGGCACAGGGGATTTGCATCTATTATTGGTTCATATTATTTTATTAATAATTATTATCTTTAATTATATAATACAAAATCTTTAGGAGGAAGCCATCCTACTATTTGGAAATTTATTGATGGAATAAAAAAAGTTCAAAATTTAGAAGAATTGAAACGAGAGCAGTAAAATGCTGAAGAATAACCGCGGAAAAAAAAGTACAAAGACTGTGTTAAAAAAATGTATTCATTAATTCAAAACTATAGTCTTAATGACAATAATAAGAAATTTCTAAAAGGTATAGCGTATAATTTGTCACTAAATGCCTAATTATTTTATTTAAAATTATTATTATAACTAAATATTATTACTATTATAAATTAAAAAGTTAGATATTTTCTATATACCATATTTTCGTTATTAATTACTTTCGCTCTTTTTTAAAATTAGCTGTTTTTATTTTCGCTATTATTAATTCGCGATTATTAAATTCGCCATTATTGTTTCGCTATTTTGGCCTAGATCCATTTTTTCCATCTTGTATTAGAAAACATTTTAGTTTCATATCGCGTAATACGGATAGGTAGCAAGGCTGGAAAATGAGTATTTAAATTAAAATGTCAAAAGTATAGGAATATTGCTACATAACAATAAAAGTATGTTTTTTATATACATTAATATATTTCTTGTCAAAATTTAATATTGCCGGTGGAAGCAAATGAATGAAAAAGTATTTTTTTTCATTTATTTCAATTTAATTGATGGATTGAAAAACTAAAAGACTTTAAAAACTCACTCAGAAATTGAAGATTACTCTTATATCTTATAAATAAAACAACTTAAATATAATTAATTTATAAATAAAAGTAAATAATGCAAGCTCTAAAATCTGTGAATTTAATCAAATTTCAAAAATCTATTGCTAAATTTTAACACAATTTATAGGTTGTATAATATTTAATTTAAAGCCGTATAATATAATATTAACCATAAGTGCGTTATTGTGTTAAATTAATAATTGCTAACTATAATAAATAATTAGGAACAAATTTATTTTTGACTTAAATATAATTAGATATTTTATGTTAAAAATTTATAATAATTTTGTGTTTAACTCGATGATTAATCATGAAATGAATAAAATGCATGTTTGTAAATTCACTTTTTGTCAAATGTTTTAAAGCAAAAAAATAAATAATAAATGTTAAATTTTTATCGTGCATTGTTATAAATTTACGAAAACAACACTTTTTATGTTTTATTGTAAAATCACACTACATTGAAATATATTACAATAAGCAATAGTCTGGTTTGAGTGAGTCAATTGTTAGTATGAAAACACTAGAACTAACTAATACATAACTAAAATTACGTATAATTTTTTTTAAGTTCAACGTAATCTAGTATCCATACACAAGGGATCACCGAACTTTTAACAATATATATTTTATATAATATTTTTAACTCCACCTAAAAACCCCCTCAGATATTAATGATGCAGTAAATCTACTCACATCTAATATACAAACTTCAGTGTGGGACTCTGCCACATCTATATCATCACAGAAAAAGCCTCCTCAAAAAGCCACCTCCCCTCGTATATGCGATCTCTTATTTCACAAAAACGTCACGCTCGTTCGGTATAGCAAAGAACCAGATACCCTATTGACAAAGCCCTTTATAACTCACATACCCAAAAGCTGAAGCATCTACTAGTAATTCTCAAATCCGAGTTCTACGCAAATCATGTCTCCTCTCTTACAGGCAAGGATGGTTCTTTATGGAAAACAACTAAGCAACTTTTACGTATCCACAATCCTCCTCTTACTTTACGTAACACTGATGGCAGCTGAGCATTACTTGAAAAAACTCAAGAAGACATATTTGCTAAACACCTATCCAACACTTTCCAACCTTACCACAACATCTATCCGAATAAAATCAAAGAAGTTGAAATATATCTTAACGCTCCTCTTTCAATATATCTTTCTCCTAAAGCTTTTCACCCTAGTGAAGAAGAATTTGGTTTAAAAAAAAATTCACTCAAAAAATCTCCTAGTTTCGACCTAATTACAACGAATATAACCAAATACTTATCCAGAAAAACAATTGTTTTCTTAATTAAAATTTATAATAATGTGTTATGATTATCATACTTCTCTATACTATGGAAATACTCTATTATAATATTCATACCAAAACCTCATAAGCTCTCTGACTGCCTCTCCGCATACAGACCTATAAGTCTTCTTCCAACTCTATCCAAATCATTTGAGAAACTCCTCCTTAAACACATACTGCTAATAGTTGAGGAAGCTAAAATAATTCCTGATACTCAATTATTAACATTATTAACAGTCATTCGATAATCCATCAGATTCATCACCTGATTGATAAAATTTCGTTCGCCCTGGAGGAAAATCTATACTGCACCACCGCATTTCTCGATGTCTCACAGGCATTTAATAAAGTTTGGCACTTAGGCCTTCTTTATAAATTAAAACTTCTCTTTCCAAGCTACTACTATCTAATCCTGAAATCCTACCTTGAAGATCGCTTCTTTTCTGTATGTGTAGGTTCTTCCTTTTCTTCTCCGACAGAAATAAAAGCAGGTGTACCTTAAGGCGCAGTAATTGCTCCCTTGCTTTTTAACCTTTTTATCTCAGACCAGCTGACCGAGAACCTTGCACTGGTTGGTTGCCGACGACAAAAACATACTAGCAAGTAGCCTAGATCGAATCCTGGCCTCTTCTCACATACAATCTCATTTAAACACCCTCGAGACATGGTACAAAACCTGGGGAGTAAAAATAAATGAATCCAAATTCACTCACTGCACCTATACCCTCCACCACAGAACATGCCCAATAATATCTCAACAATCAGCCACTTTCTCCCGTTCAATGTGTACGATACCTTGGTATCATTATAGGCCGTCGACTTACTCGGTAAACACACATAACTAGGAAAATTAAAACACTAAATGACCGTTTCCGACTCCTTCGACCACTTCTTATTTCTAAGCACATGAAACTCCCTAACAAACTCCTGCTGTATAAACTTCTTCTAAGACCCATATGGACATATGGAGTTCAACTATGGGGCAGCGCTAAAATATCAAACATAAACCGGATCCAAATATTTCAATCTAAAGCCCTACGTACCATTTCCAAAGCCCTATTATACGTTTCAAACCACACACTCCACTCTGACCTTAAAATGCCATTCGTTTCCGAAATAGCCAAAACTCACTATAAACGTTTTAACAGTTACTTAGCTCGCCATAAATCCTTTAATCACCGAATTATCATCTGTTTCCATTTTGAGCAATCCAATTAAAAGACTCAAAAGACGGTGGTGTCGTGACCTGCTAAACTAAATTAAAAAAAAAAAAAAAACTGTAATCATGTTGTAGTATCTCCAATAGGAGGTCTCTACAATCTGTCTCATTTGTCACTTTCTTATTTATCTTTTTCCATCAATTGTTCTTATTGTTCATTATTGTAACAGATTGAATATAAAAAAAAAAATTTTAAAAAAATAATATATATGTATATATATATATATTTATACTGTGCTGTGAATTATTCCTGTATTTATTTAAATTATTAATTATTAAACAACAATACAGAAAATTGTTTATCATTTTTATATTATTATTTATTTGGAGTTCTCTTTGTCGCTGTGATTTATTTATTGTGTTTTTATTAATTCTTCGCAATACAGCAACATAGTTACAATTGTATAAAAGAGTTTACCATTTTTTAGTTACATTTTATCAATTAGTTTTTATTAACATCCAACATAATCCAACACAATCATTAAATTTTACACAAAATCACATAATTTTTCCCCACATAGCTCACTATTCTCTGCGTGGCGAACACAACCAGTTCTAGTTAAGTTAAAACATCACTACACGGTACTCAATACAATTTCGGCCGGTGGGTGGGGGTATGGCATAACGCACGAAGTATTCGGTGTCCGGGAGCACAGTTTATATTCTTGGCCCAATCATAATGAACTTTTTACTTTTTAGTGATCGTTTTTGGATAGACCAATACTTCTAGCCATGGAACTGTTCTGTAAATAGTATAATGCACGAGTATAATAAATCATATTGGTTCGCTTTAAAGTAAAAAATTTGCCGTATTTTCAAGGGCATCATGGTACACATATTGGAAACCACTGTTTTGTACAATATTTTAGTAGGAACCATTGTGATATCGTTGAATGTTTCTTCTTTTTCTTCTTCTTTTTCTGTTGCATCTTAAAGAACATTAAGGTCATTGTGGCAACAACGACTTTCCTCTACTTCTCCTTGATCCTTGACACTTCTTCCGCGTTCTCTATCCCAATCATTTTTCTGAGGTCTTCCTTGATTCTATCTGTCCACTGTTGTCTAGATCGTCCTCTGGGTTGTTTTGTGTTTGGTGTTAATTTGCTCACGGAATAATAATATGATATTGCATGCGTATACGAATTAAACTAAAGTTTTACTAAAGGTACCATCTTAGTTTTTTTAGGGTATGCAAACAATTAAAGAGGCTAATTTTTTTCCACCACCAGGAATTGTAAAAAAAAAAAAAACGTTTCTTGTATTTTCACCATTGAGTTATTCTATTTAAAATATATTTATTGCACATTGACCATATAATATCTATTATCTACTGCAGAAAATAAGTTATCTCCATAACAGAAAGAACCTTTTTTACTATCGAGCAATAATATTATTAATTTTATTCGAGATGAACGAAATTGCATAGAAAGATGTTTCTTTATTCCCAAAATCAAATATTTAAAGCTGAAGACCGTAGTATAAATATGCATTAAACAAATAGGCTAACTGTAGATAAAAATGTGTCAGGGTGTGGTAGTGCACCCCTTGCCTCCGTCCCAAATTATGTCCCTGAGTTTCGTTTTGGCAATCGCGCCACTTATCTTACCTGTCTTATGCCGTATTTGATTTCAAAGTCCAGAAAATTGTATTCCTTCGCATGGGCCGGCCGCGGCATGGCCGTAGCTGTTATCGACGCGCCGGTGGACGGGGGACCATTAACAGCCCGGCCGCCGATGGACGCCTGGTACGCGAGTATGTTGGCCAAACTGGCGATCACGGGCTCGGCGGCGAAGGCGAGCGTTTCGTTGCAGTCCTCCACAGAGTGTACCACCTTGAGAATGAGCTTGGGCTGCCTGAGCATCTCCAGGTAGTGAACGCTCTTCTTGAGTATCTCCGTCACCGTTTCCTTCCGTCTGGGCTTGTGCAGTTTGTCGGCTAGTTTTTTCTCAAAAACGAATATGGACACCTCCTGCAACCGAAAAAAAAATCAATCGTGACCATTATTTGGATTAAATCTTTGAATTCTGATGATAATGATGATAATGGTGAATAATAATATTCACCAGCGTTATCCGAACCGCTGCTGTAGAGTAAACTAAAACGCGTAAGGTCCCGAAAACTAGAAAACCGTTTTCGTTTTGGATTCGGAATAGGTAACTATTATAAAATCGTCATGTGTTCGAATGATATAACAATTGTAATGCAATACGCATTTAACAATACCCACGCTAAAATATTTGTTTGTTTTATTGGCTATATTATAACGTTCCACCGTTACGTGTTGTGTAATTTTCATATCACGAAAAATCAATAACATGCATTGCTGATAAATGTGATAAAATGTACAAGTGTTTTATCATGTATATGACACACAACGATGTGAAATTTGCTAAAATATAAATAAAGAGTACAGAGGAATTATGTTGTGTACACGGTACGAATACATGTGAATGGCGTTCTAGGATTCAAATTTCATACGTTTAATTTATTTGAATGTTTTTACTTCGATCATCTATCAAATTACTTATGTCTATCAACAATGGCCATTCCAATGCAAGCCAATTCCAGAAACATTTTATGAAAATGACAAAAAAACAAATTTGAAAACGATGTATTTTGAAAAATCCAATGACATAAATACAATTTAATAACCATTTATTTTTTTGTTCATTTAATTTCATAAAAATATTATATTTGTAGAATAATTTACGTATAATTCTAGTGAACATGTATTTTAATACACCAATAATTTAGATATTAGAATTTTATAATAATATTAATAATATTATGTTATTGCGTGCAGTATAATATTTAAAGTGAATGGAAAATATTTTCGATATAAATTACTGCAAATGTAGATTAAAAATAACTAACAGATAGTAATATCCAAAATATTGTAGTTTATCATATAATATTAGGCTTATACTAAAATAGTGTCACAGTGAAAACTTTTGTCGCTTATTAAGATTATGATAATTAAGTAATGTAAACTAACTTTGGCTGATAAACGAGCTCTATAATTTATAATTATGTGATAAATTTTCAAAAATTAATGAAGGTACTTAGTTGTATTATAATATGTTTAAATGTTTAAATAGAAAATTAACAGTGTAACAGTACAAATAAGATATATTATTTTTCTATTATCGTTCAATGTGACATATATCGTGTAATTTTAATTTAATAACTTCCTTCCTATTTTTTTTTTTATTATTTTTTTTACTTATGTTTTCCCAAATTTAATTAAATATATAATTAAAACCGAATAAAACTTGAAACATGAAATTCGCTAAAAATATTTCATACTTATTTCACTATGGATAATAATAGCTTTTATTTCGATTTGGAACAATAGTTGTTCCATTATTGTTATAACATGTGCTTAATTGTGCGATTGGATTTATATTATGGAACTAAATTACAAAACTTTGATATACCAATAAAAAACGTATCACCAATTTACTTCCACATAATTTTAAGTTATAATTATTTATAAATTAATTAATTATAATTTTATAATTTATAACTATTCTGTAATATTATTTTGTTTTTCGAATATTCATGTTGAATAAATTATAATAAATGAATTTTGATTGTTTTTTTTTAAATTATAAATTTCAAATTAATAACATTTACCATATTTTTTCTATTAAAAAAATAAAAAAAAAAAAAATTTAAAGAACAAGAGTTGATAATCCAGCCAAATACTTTTTTTTCAATTTAATAGAAGTTAAGCTTTCGATGTTAAGATCTCGTTTATCTTCGTTCCGGTATAATCATTAACTGTATGAGCTCTCATAAGTTTGAAATAATTTTTAAATAGTTTTGAAACGTTAAAATACAAATGACTGCATTTATCTATTACAAAACTTGTCATTATTTTATTTTCATATATCTACACTTAGTAAATAAACTTATCCTCTATTCTCCAAAAGTATATTTATAAAAATTTAGGTGTATGTTATTAAATATTTGGGAAATTTAAAACCTATAAACAATAAATATAATATTTAGAAATAACATATTAATGTATTCATTAATTTGATGTAGTAGTGAGTATATTTTAACGATATTTAAATCTTACAATTAGTCATTACTGCAAATAACAATAGTGTATAAATAATATTTATATGCGTGAAATATACTGTACTCGCAATATGATTTAAAGTTACTGTTGCAAGACCTTTTAAAGATAGCATTCAAAATTTCAAAGTATTAATTTGAAAACTGTGAAAAAAAATAAAAATATGCTACCAAGGTAAATATTCTTTTCAGACTAACTTATATATTAATATTTATAGCTTTTTAGTGCAAAAGTTTTTATTGTAAAACAACAAACAAAAAGTAAAATATATTTCAGATATTCGTTTTCACAAATACTTCACTTATTCCACAAGTTGTAATGAGTATTATTTTCATGACTATTCATTTTATAACGTATTTAACTTTTATTTTAATGTATTAAACAAGTATAGTGAATATTGTATAAAACAAATGTGTACTTAACATAATATTGATTAAAACTATTGTTATTTATACAGTTTATTTAAATTTTTTATTAGTGTTAATTTAAAAGTAATATTAAATCATCTCCTTATTTTACAGCTCTTAAATGTTTAATTCGATTATATTCGATTACATTTTATTGATCAAAATATAGATTGACATTATAATAAATTGTATTATTTTAATCGTCGTATGAATAAAATAAAGTTTTCAAAGTATACCATATTCAACATTTATTGATCCTCAAATACTAAAACTAATCAATAAAAGTTGTTCATTCAAAAGATGAAAACACAACAAAATATTTATGTGTGGTTTTTTATTTTGTTTCTTAAATTTGAATGTTAAAAATTCTTTAAGAAGGTATTAAAAATATCTTGATCGAAAATATGACCTATACTCAAGCTTTATTTTACAAATATAAAACTATATTTTTTAATACCTTTATAACGACATCTCATAGAAAACTTCGTAAATTGTACTACTTTAAAAAATGTTTAATATATTATAATATTTACGCTTGAATAATTTTATTTAAATACAGATATTATTTTTACCATCAAAAAAATAATTTTTTTTTTCAAAATAGAAGGTACAACTTTTTAACATTCTTTGGGTAAAGATAACAAGAATATTTTTGGAATATTTATAGAAGAATTTAAATTAAAATAGCTATAATTGAAGCAATATTATTCACAGATTTTTCAGCATTTGGTTTAAATATTAGAATATGGCGGCAGAAAATTAATTTTTCTTAGAAATTCTTTCAAAAATTAATATTTTTATGAATATGAAGAAGGTTATTTTAATTTTCGATCATTTTAAAATACATGTATTTTGATTGTTATTTATCTATTTTATAATGTACATGTAATATAACATACATATAATGTACGAATATTAAAATATGTCTATGTATATACAAGTATCATTTATATTGTGTATCAAAGATTCTAAGATGAAGTAATGGATGTATAAGATATTTTATGATATGAAATTTTTAGGTTATTTTTTGGTAATATATACCGTATTACCTACATGTTTATAACGAATATTATATTAGAAAGGATGACTGATTGAAATATTTACTACAAATCATTGTATACCTACTATATTATAAAAATGATTTATTATATTTAATATAAAAAAATGTAATATGTAATATTTATCTGATATACTTAAATGTATTATTTTATTATAAAAAATTATAATACTTTTTATTTAAATAAAAATAATGAATTTTATATGATTATTTGATAACACTATCTGAAAAGTTAATTTGTTTATCTTATTTATTTTTAATTCAGTACTGTCTTAAAAATGTCAAGTCTACGTTTACCTATAAAATATTTACATAGTGGTTCTTTGAAATAAATCTGAACCAGTACAATCTGTATATTCGAATATATATATATAGTATAATATTCGTATTTAATAAAACGAGCACTATATCTACGAACCATCGGTTATGTGTATAATTAAAACGATTCACCGGGCGCCAACGTCGTATATCCGGTACGTGCATGCGGTTGTCTCATATGTCGTATCACGTACACAAATGTAAAACATATTTACCCACACACATACACAATTTACTACACACCGCATAAACGCCCGAAGTGAACTGCAAGAGTGTATATAATTACCATTGTTACCGCTGTCGGGAAACGATTAAGACTGTAATCCGCTATGCGTGTGCAAGTTCACATTGTTATAATCAAAGAGACGACTGAAGAACCAGTGCTAAGTTAAGGAAAATGTATCGTGGGGGAGCGGTTAGTGATAATTATCATTATTCGTAAAAAGTAATACGACAAACGAAATAAAGGGTGGTTTAAATATGCTAACTTACTTTTTTACTCTTAAAGAGTGAATTTTTTTTTTATTCTGATTTATGGAAAATGTATATGTACCTACTAAAAAACTAAATTTCCCAATATATATATTTTTTGCTTTTCTTAAAAAGTATAATGGGATAGTATTAACATTTGTTTTACCTTTTTTTTATATATATCAGGGGTGGCCAGCATGAATAGGTTAATGAGCCACATAGATAAATATAATAATTCCAAGAGTCAAATATAAGATAAATACAAATAAATTTTAAATAATTTGATAATATTTTACAAATGTAAACCTATAAAATTAAAATCCAAAATAATAATAATATGATGAGTAAATTTTAATTTTATAAATAAAGCGCGAGCAGCATCTAATAATGACAAGAGGCTACATGTGGCTCGCGAGTCGCAAATTGGCCGCCTCGAATTTTTCATGTACCAATATTTGGCTAACACTTAAAATACTAAAATTTTAAATTACGTATGAAAAGTTTATGATAATTAGTAGATATTATGATATTTTCCAGTTGTTTAATATATGTATATAGATGCGAATAATGATCTAATCAAGTAACAAATTATATCATGTTGTCATTAAATAATAACAATATTATTGTATGAA